CTCTGGGCCCAAGTTTAGGCCACGAGACGAATTGTTTTGGTTCAATAAGCCAGAGCTGTTGTTGTCGCTCATTCATTTTATCCTTTTCCAGGTTGGCCAGTTGATTAAAAACAAAAATTATTATGTGGATTTATTTGGGGTTTTGTTTTTCATTTAATTGCTGTCTACGGGTTTATGCTGTGAATTTGATACTCAGATCTAATTTTTCCTTCTCTGGGAACTTTTGCAGAATGCATTTGAGCTTGCTTCATTCTTCTGGTTCTGGGTATTTCCTGTTTCCTTCTTTTTTTATTTCATTAAAGATTTACATTTTTTTTTTAGAAACGTAATTTCAGACTATAGGAGTCGCGTCAAAAATGTTGCTAAAGATGCGCTTTCTCGCCTATTGTTTCAGTTTGTTTGTTCAATTAATTTTACATCTCCTCTTCTCTCCCCCATCCCCAATAAAATCTTCCTCTTCTTTCTTTCTTTTCCTTCTGTTCAACCAAGAACATCCTTAGTCTCAGTTTGAAAGACAAAAGGTCTAATGTTGAAATCTTAATACATATCCGTTTTTTGTTTCCACTCGATTTTGAATTCTCTTACTATGAATGACAGTGGCAGTTTGGTTACAACTCCTGCTTCATAAGGAACCACTTACTTGTCTATCTACGTCTAATTGTCGGGTATGTCTTAATAAAAGAATTAGTCTTGTACGATATCCTTGTGCTTTGCTTCTTACTCACCTTGTTATTATTCAGACTCTGCCTTCTCTTACGGTCGATACCCTAATACTGCCGTTCTTTTCTTTTCACTTTATTGCATAGGTTTGCCGGTCAGTTTCTATGCAGCTACAGCACCTTGCCCCTCTATGCACTTGTTACTCAGGTAAAAAAACATACGAAAAATGGAGTATGTACCAACTAATACAACTGCAACTTATACATGATTCTTATATAATGGTTTTTTTAGATGGGAACAAATTACAAGGCAGCCCTCATTCCAAAAAGAATAAGGGAGACAATCCACGGGTGGGGAAAGGCTGCTCGAAGAAAGAGAAGATTAGGCATTTATACGGATGACTCGACCATCCACACGGACACGAGCACCGTTATATCTGTTGAGGAAGATGATAACCGGTCGATTGAGAGCCCCCGATTTGCTCCTCATTTGGATTCACAAATCGAGCTGCAGCCGGTCACTAACATTGGCTTTGATAGCACTCACTTCCCTACTAACGAGGTGTCGAGCCGGATGGGGACTCCCCTCCTCAGGCATTCGGCCTCCATCGCGTCTCCAATTTCTCGGATGATTTTACACGAGGATATACCGAGATCATCCTCTTTGCCACATTAGGGAGGAGATTTAGAAATATGTGCAATATTGTGTTTGTTAATACAATTATAAATATAGTTGAAATGTCTTAGTTGTAGCATATGATTAATTGATATTTGATAGGGCTTCATATACCGAGTAACTTCTCTATAGCACGAAAGAATAGCTTGTATCTTTGTTTTAATTTTTTCCTCTCGACAGTTTCTTTTTGGGTAATTACAAAATATTTCATTAGGCTATTGGCAAAAAAATAAGGGAAATTTACATGCTTAGACTATTGGAGTTATTTTCACATATATGATCAACACAAAATATTTGTCAAATAGGGGATTTGATGGAGATTTTATTTTCACAATTATGATATTCATTTCTCTTTCCAAGAAATTCGTTTCTCTATCCAAAATAAAAATCATGTCTTTACAATGCCCGAAAACGACGCAATGAAAACGAAATTTCCAAAAAAAAAAAAGAAATTACACCAAATATGATAGCTACAAATCTACACTGCATGAATTCAAAATTCAAATGAATTTACAGTACATCGATATCTTGCAGTTGGGAAAAAAATCACTGATCTAGCTTAGAATAAAAATACAGTCATGATCAGATATATTGTATATATACAATAAATATGGTAGATTCAAACATTGACGTAATTGAATCTTGTATAGAGTAGTTACACTGAACATATACATTAGACACAAAAATATGTAGACACACACATTATGGATTCAAATAAGTAATAACATAGAGTATACTTATGGTAAATGTATGTATTATGTGAACAAATATGACACATGAATACGGTGACGATTTTGTGTTCGAGTCTTTCACCCGATTTTACGGTCAACCGCGAGCTGAGCCAAGCGATTACTGCACGCACAACACATGACCCTCCACCGCCAGTGTCGTCCGTCGCCATCGATTCGAAGCTCGCCGTCAGCCGCTCTCTTCTAAAGGTTGCAGGCAGTTACCCACGCTTTCAGTCGAGTCATCGAGCCACGGTCCCCGCCAGCCACAGACAATCTATCTCGGTCGCCGCTGTCAATTTTGGGTTGAGGTGCATGGAAGAATAGAAATTGAGAAAAAGTAGAAATATTGGGGTTTTAGTCTATCCGTGAAAGAAGAACGATAAGAAAGAAAACGGAAAAAAGGGAGAATGAGTTAGGTGGAGAAGAATTAATTTTATGGTCTTGACTAATGAAAAAATTCGTAAAAAAGAAGATAAGTTACATGTTTTATAGAATTAAAAATAATTATGAAATGAAAAGTATGGGGAGTAAATTTCTCAATAATAAAACGCAATCAATCCAAGCTCTCTTTTTTTTTTGGTACAAAGAAAGAGGCCAGAGGCATAGGTGTTAGACAAGAATACGTCGGGGATAAGACATCCCGATGATATCATGTTGAAGCCATTCTCCCACACTAGGAGGAGGCATAGAGAGCACATGGAGACCAATCGGATAAGAAGACGCTAGGCTCGCTAAGTGGTCTGCAGCAAAATTTGTCTCTCTATGTACGTGTCGAAGACTAATAGTCCAGTCCCGTTGGAGCATTTGACGAATGACCTTGACTAAGGCGCCATTTGAGGCTATAAGAACAACGTACCATATTCGAAGATAGGATATCGTAGCAAATGGAATGGTTGAAGTCAAAACATTAAAGTAACAAACTCGAGGAACTTACATTATGGAGCAACGTATTTGAAGGTTTGCACAAACCATCTTTTCACTTACGTCTGGAGATTATTTTCATTGAGTGTGCGGTGCAAATTGCGCGATTAGTGACTGACCAAAGTTGATATTACTTTTAGTTTTATTGGGTATTCGAATTAAAGAGTTGTTCTCTGATTCGAACGCAAATTTTTAATTTGGACATTCATGGTATTTGGGATGAGCACCATTCTACAGTGCGAGGGATTCATGTTCTAGAAGTCCAAGAGGAGTTGACTCAGAAAAGTAGTTTAGTGATGTGATTACATTGTAGGTTAGGAAAAAGGTGTCTTCTGTGTAATTTCTTGTTGTAATGGGCCAAACACTTACTGCAATGAAAGAGTTTTGAAGGGAGAACAAAATGTTTTCCTGAAGGTTCATTTTTTATTTGAACTACTTCCACATTTTAGTGAACATTCATTATTTACTTGTTAAGCGCAATTTTGTAACTCCCCTAAATTTTCAATTGGCACCACAACGGATTTTTGTTACCATATATGAAGATCGTGTGGACCTATATACGGGCAACTATAAATGACGATGACAGATCAATGTCGAGACCACCGCAATTAGAGGATCGAATTACTTTAACGGGATATCGATGATGACCATCTTTCTACGGTCACTTGGTAAAGGTACGTGGGAAAGCGTAGAGAATGGGTGGACACTTCCACTCACGAGGAAAGCACCAGACAGTGGAATTCACACTCAAGTTGAAGAAGCCCTAAAACCAAGGATATCTGGACGAATCTTAAAAAAAAATACAAGAAGTGGCAAATTTTTAGCCTTATACACAATTTCGATGGTCGTTGATCAGACACAGTACAAGATGATACTTCAATGTATGACTACCATAGATGCATGACGTATTCTGGAACGCCAGTTCGAAGGATCCAAATCGGTTAAATCTTCCAAACTACAACATATGACGTTGGACTTCGATGACATCAAGATAAAGGATGATGAAACCATTGACTCATATTACGCGAGGTTTTGTGATCCTTTAAATCAAAGTGCGATGATGGGGGAAGACATATCCGAAGCACGTCAACTCCAGAAAATTATGAGAACACTTTCGACACAGTTGCGTGAGAAGATTACGACTCTTAAAAGCTTTCAAAGAGTCAAGCCACTTGATCTTGATGATCTTCTTGGTGATCCTAGATTGTTCGAGATCAATAACAACTATGACAAAAGTGAAGAATAAGGGACTAGCATTGAAGGTTGTTGTTTCATCTCAGACTAAAGACAGTGATGAGGAAAAATTTCATTGGAGGAAGACGCTGAATTCAAAGAAGCATTTGCCTTAATTCTAGGAATTATGGTAAAATGTGAAACAATCTTTATAAAAGTTCCTCTCAAGACAAGCGAACAAACATCCCTTCCTCAAAAGTTGAAAGTCAAAAAGCCAAAAAGGATCAGTGCCGGTAGTGTAGAGGCTTTGGGCACTTCCAGTTTGAATGTGCTAATTTGAAAAAAAGAACAATCTCTTGAAAGCAACATGGGAGGACTCATATGAGAAGAAACTGAGGAACCTACTTCTTACACTAGCAACACGACAATTCATTTAGGAGACAAATTTCTCTGCTTTACCGCAGCCATCAATCCTTTGATATCTGATGAAGGCATGAATCTATTTCAAACTTCCTCTTATGAATTCGATGTGATAATCCAGATCTGAACACATGTGAAGATTCGGTGCACTTGTTAGCTAAGGAGAAATGTATGCAAGCTGCTACTGAAAGAAAAACCTTTGTAGTCCGATAAAAAACCTCAAGTCTAAAAGACAACAAAGTGAGCCAAAGGAAAAGGTGGAATATCTCAAGAAAGAGGTTCAGAAAATGAGAGAGTTGAATGGTTCACTGAACAATCAACTGAATTCTTCCTCTCTCATCAAAAGAAAGTTAAACTTAATGCGGCGAAAACTCCAAACTCGATCTTTGATAATGCCTTGAAAGTCTCGAAACAAGCAGGTATTGAGAAACATCAAATTATAGAATATTTGAGGACTAAAATATTTGCCTTGCAAAAAATGCTAAGCAATAAAGACATTGGAATGAATATCCTAAAGGGTGAACTCTCTCAGAGGATGAACGAACAAGTGAATCTCAGGGGACTTATTTCTTAACATGAGAAGAGCCTGAAAGAAAAAAAGTGCTGAGCTGAAACGTACATACCAGACCCTGAACAAACTGAACAAGGGGACTGCAGACTTGAACAAGTTACTCAGTATTTGAAAGAAACATGATGACCTCAAGGGACTAGATTACACTGGAACCAAGCGTGAAGGTTTTAGTACCTCAGAAGGTGCACCACAGCGTAGACATTTTGGTCTTGGCTTTACAAATAAATAAAATATAAAGGCATTGGAGACTTGTTCTGAACGTAAAGCTGAGAAGAAACTTTATGGAAGGATTGTTCCTAGTACTGCAAATGTAGGTATCGTTCCTAAGAAAATGCATGGTAAGTCCATTTCCAGCACTGTAAGTGAAACTTCTTCTCCTAAGAAAACCTATTATGAAAACGATCATTCAAAAAAATTGTACCTATATGTTATTAGTGTAGCATAAGTGGTTACATCAGACCCAAGTACTACAGAATGCAATATGATCTATGTTTGGGCAAGGTGAAAAATTGGAACCATCATACAATACCCGTGCAAGCCTCAAAATATGAAGAGATAAGAAAAAAAAAAAAGAAATGAACACAAGTTGTTAAAAATTTTCACAAATGTTTAGCTTCAGTTTGATCCCTAAATACCTCAGTTTAATGTAAATGGTTTCTAGGCAGAGGGTGCTCTAGACATATGGCTGGTGTTATTTTTATCTATGTGACTTGAGAACATGTGCTAATGGCAAGGTGACAGTTGAAGATGAGGTCAGTAACAAATTTGTTGGTAGTGGATGTCTAAACATTCGTGGTTTGCCAAAACTGAAGGATTTGTTGTTGGTTCACAAGTCAAAAGCTAACTAATTCAGCTTTAGTCAACTATTCGATCAAGGGTTGAGTGTTAGTTTTTATCGTGATAAATATTTTGTGAAAGATGATAATTATGTTTGTGTGTTGGCAGGTTCACGACCAAATGACAATTGTTACCTTGTTGATATCAGTTCTGAGTGTTTACAAGCTATGTTTAAAGAAACTGAGGTGTGGCACCAACGTATGGGTCACATCGGTTATTCCCGCGTTGTTAACTCGTTAAATGTAGGTGTGATATGAGGTGTCCCAAAACTCCACAAAGCAACATCTGGTGTGTGAACCATGTAAAATAGAAACCAAACACCATCGACTCACAAAGCTTTGAATTAG